GCCGGCCATTGCGGGCTGAGTGGTCCGGCCCAGAGGGAGGCCCCCGGCGCTTGCCTGCGGAGGCTGTGACCGAGAGGTGCTCTCTGCCAGGGTCCTAGTCCTGCCCTCGAGCTCGCCTCCTCACACCAGCGTGGCAGAGCATTTAGACCTAGAGACGGCTGGCGCAGGCAACCAGGGCGCTAACCTGGCCGCTCACAGCGGTGACTTAGCTGTCGTATGCTGAGTGCGGGGACAGAGCCGACAGGGGAGCCCCTGGAGGAGCCCGGGGTCCGTCAGAGAACACACACCCCTGCCTGTGAACAGCTGGCGGAGGCCGACTCCTCGGTGCTGGGGGAGGCACCCGGGTGGGAAATGGTTCAAAATGCGAAGCCCCCCCTCTCTGTGGGGAGAGCACAGTGCGGAGCCCCCTCCTGGGTGGGACCCTCAGTACCCCCCTGGCACGGGTGCCTCTGTGGGCCCCTCCCTCCTCAAAAAGACATTAAAATCAGATGGTACAACTGTGTTGTTCAGAGAGGGGATCATTTTGGCCCTGAAGTTCACTGTTTTCCTCTGATATTTAAAGGAGGTAAACCATGTTCATGGGCCCACAAGCATGGTGGCCCTGGAGACCACCCACCGTGCTGCTGGACGCGCCCGCTCCGTGTTGGCACCACACGCAACGAGGGACAGCGGCCTCGTCCAACCGCCTTGTTTACAAGGAGGAAAGGGCCAGACCGGCTGAGGGACTGGGGGCCGCACGAGGCCAGTCAGGAGCGTGTCCTGCAGCCCCACCCAAGGCCGCCAGCCCCTGCCACGCACAGGGCCGTGTGCCCGCTGACCTTCATGGTGGTGAAGTTCCTGATGCGGTCAAATTCAAACACGATCTCGATGTAGCCGTTGGCGGCACTCTCGTTCCTCCAGCCCACGTAGTCGTAGCCAGGCCACACGTGGTACTCGTGGGTCTGGGTGAAGTCGTCCAGGCCGGACACCCCGTCCGTTAGCTGGCCCAGCCCCTCGGTCATGCTGCCGGCCAAGGGCGAGAGGAGGGGACAGAGGTCCGAGTTAGCGCGTGCTCGTGGAAGAGCTCTCGCCACTGCACCGGGTTCTGAAAAAGCTGGCCATCATGGAGGGTGCCGGATTATGAAAATCCGATGTATCTGACAGTATCGACTCATTCATCCTGCATCGGTGCAGAACTAAGCTTCATATCGATGAATTTTATAAAACATTGGATTTTGATTCCCCTTCAATAGCAAAGCTGTTAAACAATGTTCTATTTGTTTACTCTCTTGTGCCCTGACCTATTCTTACATACTGACATAACCAGTCTTTTTATAATGACTCAATGTTCTCAAAGACATTTGATTAACGAATCTAGGAGTGAGCGACTGCAGGAACGCATGTGGAGTGGACCGCAGCCTGCCCATCCCCTGCCCTGGTCCCTGAGCAGGTTGGAAACACATTGCTCAGCGAGTCGGTTCAGTAAGCCAGCTCACCCCCACCCCATCCGAAACCAAACTCCAGGGCAGGAGGCCACTGGCCCTTCACCCCGCCCGTGACAGAGGCAAAGGAATCGAGAAGTGCGTGTCGGCCGTCCCAGGCAGCCACGGGCCAGGGGCAGAGCCAGTGAGGTGCACTAGCTACGGACGGTGCGGGGGCCTGGACCTTTTGAGGACCGCGTGGTAAATGATAGCAACGTCTAATTCCTATGCTGTACACCTGGAAACAATGCCAAATAATATTGGAAGTAAACTGTAATTTAAGAATAAAAAGCCTGCCACATTTAAGTACTCATTTATATTTCAATTTAATAAAATTCATAGACAATGAGACCCCCAGAGTGAGAGGCATGGGTGGCACGAGGGTCTGGGACTGGCTCGGTTTTGTTCTGGGCCCGGCAGCCTTTCCACCTCCGAAAAAGGCCGCTCTGAGGGCGGAGCTGCCGGGAGCCCCGCTGCTCGGCCGGTTCCCAAGACTGGGTCCCGCTCAGCCACACGGCATGTCCACCGCCCATCTCATCACGTCACGTGCCAGCCTCTAGTCTCCTTCCCTGCGTGAACGTCCCTCCTCACCCCCTCAGTCACCGTATGGCCTGGACTTCCTTCTCCCCGACCCCTCCTGGCCCTGGCATTCAGGCTCCTCCAAACTATGACAGAACCTGCCTCACTCTGCTTCACACTGCGGCTTCGGGGAACTGAGCTGCTGCTCCCCTAAAGGGAGGCCGTGGTCCTGTCCACACGCTGCCCCTCTGCCTCCAATGCCATTTCCACGCCCCCTGCCTGGCAGC